TGTTATAACAATATTATCAAAAAATGTGTTAATCAATCATCATCTTTAATCAAATTATATAATGTAATTCAGGAGCGACTTGACCAAGAAAATAAATATAGGCGTTCCCAGGAAACTTTGACTTTTAATAATAGTTATGGATCACAATCAATAAGCCGAACATTGTTTCCTGAAATTATTACATTATGTGAAAAATATCTTACACCTCATATAACCGCCGAAATAAAGCAACAAATTCAACAAGCACTTTGGTATCGATGTTATTTATTTAATGTTTTACAAAACCATTGTACTGATGAACCTGAGTTTACAAATACTTGTATTGAGGATGATTATGATTCACAACAGATTCATATAAATTCACTTTTAAATAATGTACCATATGACAATATTAAAGAAGCTTGGCGTATTGTTAGACTTAGGGGCTCTATGAATGTTCACTATATTATATTGTTTGATGATGGATTATTTTTATGCACATGCACTTGGCCTATTAGCCGTGGAATTCCATGCCGGCATTATTTTGCAGTTCTTTTAGAGTCAAACATTGCTATTTTTCACATTTTTTTTATAATGCAACGGTGGTTTAAAAACATTTATCTTAATGAACCTGAAGATACTTTTTACAATATTTCAGCAATTAGACCACATTGTAATAAACCTGCACCTATATTCACACCAGTTTTACCTAATCAGACTATTCTGTTTAGTGACTTCAAAAAACTCACCCATATACGTGAAGCTTCAGGATCGAAAAAGCCAGATAAAAAATTTCTTCAAGACCGAATACGTTATGGCAAAAGTTATGGGTTGCTGCAAACAGTTTTAACATTAGCGATGGAGACTGAAACAAATAAAGAAGTAAACGATTGGTGTTATCAGTTTATTCAGCAAAAAAAAAAGATTTTAGAATCCTTATCTACAACTTATAAATCAAGTATTGATGAAATGTCAAATCAAAATGATCAAGAAAATGTTAATTTAGAAAATGATCAGAAAAATGCCGATCAAGAGAATGCTATTCAAGTTACTAATCAGCAGACTGTTCAAGTTACTAATCCAAAGTTTACACGGGTTAAAGGCCGACCAAGCCGAAGGCAAAAAAGTATATTGGAATTAGAAAGCAAAAGGCCATTACGAACTATTAATGAGAATTCAAATCAGCTAAACTATGAAGAAAGTTCTAAGCATGTATATACTTGTTCTAATTGTCATGCTAAGGGACATAATATTCGCTCATGTAATTTGCCACGATGTAGTTAATAAACTTTTAACTAGCATTGGTAAACTTTTAATTAGCATTGGTAAACTTTTAATTAGCATTGTAAACTTTTAATTAGCATTGTAAACTTTTAATACTTTTAATTAGCATTGGTAAACTTTTAACTAGCGTTGGTAACCTTTTACTAACGTTGGTAAACTTTTAATTAGTATTAGTAATTAGTATTATATAAACCTATTATAAGCAATATATTGTTGTTTGTATAGCCGTAAGCTAAAAAATTTTACAAATGCATGTGTAGTTAGCAAACGTTTATAATTTATTCTTTATAAATACTTTTTTTTTATTAGTTAGGGTTAGGGTGAGTGTTAATATTGTTATTTTTCATATAAATGTTATAGATTACTAGATTATTAGGTAATTTGCTATATGATTTTCTTATATTCGTTATGTAGTAACTAATATAAGATACTAATGCGGTATATTGGTTAAGTATAACCAGTAGTTATTTATAACTATCTGGTTATTTATAAC